CCGGCGCCAAGCGGCGAGTCTGATTCAGGTGGTTGTGCGACTCTGTGTGTGTGTGTGTGTATGTGTGTGTGTGTGTGTGTGAAGTCTGTGTGAGTTGTGTGTGTGTGTGTGTGTGAGTATTTGTGTGTGTGCACTATGAGAGAGAGAGAGAGAGAGAGAGAGAGAGAGAGAGAGACGGTGTGTGTTGTTGTGACAATTGTGAAAGAGAGAAGTTATTAGGTAGTAGTAGATGAATGTGGGTCCCACTAAGGTGTAACTTTTGTAAATGACTTCATTATCCTTAATGAATGGTTAAATACACATATTTGGCCACGAATTGACCATTTATTTACAAGAATGTCATTACATTTTTTAATGTGATTTCTAAGTTTGACTAGATCATGACCATTGATATGATGAAAATCAATGGTGTAGATCTATTCCTATTTCTTTCACTATCTCCCTTTCTCATATGATCTTTTATATATATAAGGTTGAGTTTCAGTGAGAATGATGCTCAATTAAAGAAATAAGAATGATATGGTCATAATAATGAGTACCAGTTCAAGTGCTCAATATTCGACCGGGCGACAAGCCAATAATAATGAGTATCGGGGGTTTGTTAGCTTATGTTGAAATTTGGAGGATTTTGTATATTGTCTTTCGGTGTGAGGCTCATTCGGAGTTATTGTTGATTATTATGAGGCATGCGGTGCACGTTAGCGTTTGATTTGAATTTCACTATATTATTGGTGTTCGGTTTTGCTTGAGGTTATACTTGGCGAGTATTATCGAGGGTTCATGGCCCGAGTTTTGATCTTTCATGCATATGTGTGTCTTCGTCGAGTTTGTGGATTCCGGGTTATTTTCTCTGCGAGACGCATACATGTGGCCTTTACTCGGAGCTGGTGTTTAATATAGATTTGATGGGCAAGGGATAACCGAGCTACCCGACTCGGGTCGATCTCGAAGGAAGGCTATTCGGAGCTTTGTCTACTAAATGATCGTCCAAATCACAAAAATCGAAAATAAAATCCTAAACATTCTAAACAATTGATTGGATGGTTGATTAACACTAATTGAGCACTTAAAAACAAGCAATTAACTGAAAGCAAGATCAAATCGCGAGAATTTAACAAACTACATTACCGGAGTCTCATGCCATAACCATAACGGGATGATAATCAATCGGCATACGGAATAAAAGAGCTACGAGCATTAGATTGCTAACCCTAGTCGTCTAACCAAGATCAACAAGTAATTAACGTCTCTATCTACTCAAGCAAGCAATCAAGTTCAAGCATTTCCACCATCATCAATCAAATCCAATTTACTCTAATGAACATTATAAGTAAAACCGGAGCAAAAACGAAGTAAAGAGCTTTAAAACTAAATACTCAATCTCCCATTACGTAGACGATGAAAAACGGAGTCAAAAGCTCGAAACTTGAACGAAACCGAAGTCGCCGAAAAATCTCCCGGATAATAGTATAAGCTCCTAATCTAGAGAGCAAAAATAAAACATAAACTAATTTCCCAAAGAGGAAAAGTGAAAAATGAGAGAATGATCCCCAAAATGCAAAGGAACAAAAATATTTATACTACTACCCACACACACACTAAAACACGCACATTAAAATGGGACACTCTCGACCACGCCGCAAAATTCGCGAGCACGTGGTCGATGGTTTGCACAAGCGCACGGGTATAGAAGGCACTCGAGGTAGCGGCCGAATTTGCGCGTCGCGGGTGTGCGGTTAGCAGCTGACGGGCGTGGGTGTGGCGCACTCTCGGCATCGCGCTTGGTTCCGCGCGGTTGCGAGCAGCAAGCGTGTGGGGTGCGCGGTGCTCTCGGGGTCGCTATAGGTTCCGCGTGGTCGCGAGCTACGTTGGCAGGAGAACGCGCGAGGCTCTCGAGCACGCCAGGGAATCCGCGAGGTCGCGGCTTGGAGTGTGTGCGTGGTTGCGTCCGCGAGGTCGTGGAGAGCGGCGCGGGGTCGCGAGTTCTGGCGCTGTGCGGGCGTGCAGGGCAGTGCGGCTGTTGCGGGCGCGCGGGGCTTGGATGTGCGCGTGCGCGTGTAGGCGTGCGGGGCGGGTAATGGTATAGCTGTGAGTTTCGGCTAAGGAAAATGGCTCGACGCATCTCGGAATTGACTCGAAACCCTTCAGAAAGCTCGTCTCTCGGGATTCGGTTTGACTCGTCTTTTCATCCTTGGGAAAAACCTGAAAATATACCAAAAGCACGGGAAAGTACGCCAAAATATAAAATAAAACGAAAGACACGAAAACACACAGAAAACGACAAAATGGACCAGGCGACACTAAAACGAATCTAAAACCGACTCAAAAACACAAATAAACACATAAAAAATAAGCACAAAAACATAACAAACAACTCCCCCACACTTAGCTTTTTGCTTGTCCTCAAGCAAACAAAATAACAAATAGCTCGAAGAGATAAATCGAACGGTCCAAGATTAACGAACATGCAAAATGAAACTCTTATTATCATCCGGTTATCCCAAAATCAAAATCCAATCCGAGACACGGTCCCCACATAATGAATCAAACGAAACAAAATCTCGTCCCAAGTCATTCCACAAATGATCGCTCGAGTCAAACTCCCTCATCCACATATACGTGCAAAAACCATAAATGATCTACAAAGCATAAAATAATAAGCACGAGATCAATAAGCCAACTCCCCGTTCTTTTTTTTTATTTATATTTTTTTATTATTTTTAAATGAGCCACTTTTTCCAAATGAGAGCCGTTAGGACGATTATTACCTAGGTTTAACCTTGGGGTTTGTCTCCGAGTCACCTAGGCCGATTTCCCGTGCTCGTTGACCCGATCTATCTAGGAGATTAACCGAGCCAAGAGGAGCCTAATCCCTTCGACTCTCACGAACTCATTTCGTGAGCTTCTCTTTCCAAACGAAGTTTCCGGACGAGATGATCTAGGTTTAACCTCGAGGGGTTTCCCCGAGTTTGCTAAACCGGTTTCCCGGGCTAATTATCCCAATCCACGAATGGCTCGGAATAAGAGGAGCTTAATCCGTACTTCCTCGCGAACTCACCTTTTATCCCTTTTTTTTTTGGGAGAGACACACAAGGATACATCACAATTACAATATATAATCATCTCAACTTGATCGAAATGTACCACA